CAGCTACGACTGCAGTTCCTTGCACACCTGGAGAAACCAAACAAGAGGTAAATTTTCTTTCATTTATCTTTATTTTCTTTTTTTCTTAAAATTAAATTGTTGATATTTCTAGATAATAATTTATTTGAATTCTTTCTTATTTAAAAAAAAATATTTTATTCTAGGATTGCAATGAATGCATCTGCAAAGCTGATGGTACAGGATATCAATGTACTGAAAGAGAATGCAAACATGACCCAGAATCGAAAGGTAAATTTATAATAGTTTTATTACTATTTCAATATTTACTTTTATTGTCAATACATTACGATATTATCTCGTTTATGGGTTTCTTTTATGCTTCATAAAATATTTAATAATAACTATGGTGAGATATAACCATTTTTTTTTCAGAGTAAATAGACTTAATATTAGCTATTTTATATTATATTTTTATTGTTCATCTTCCAGCGGACGATCATGGAAAAATTTGCGAACCAGGATCAACGAAGAAAGAAGTGAGTTTATTTATTATATTATTTATTTAGTCGTGAATGAATATTTCTGTAATTCATAATTTGAATATATTGAAAAGCTTAAAGATTAGTTTGAACAAAAAAATTCAAATATATTTGCCGCATAGTGTATGTTATGATCTTTTTTTTATTTCAAGTAGCTTATGATTAAAAACCTAAATTCTTCATGAACATAATTATATATAAAAAAATTAAATTCTTCTGTTATAATAGGTACTGCATAAATATTACCTAAAACCCTGATTTAAGATTATACTTAGATTTTAGAATTGAATAATATTACGAAAATAGTATTAGTATTGTTAAGAAAAATATAATTCATTTAATTCATTTATTTTGTAATTTGAGATCTAATATCTTTATTCAATGACTTTTATTTAATGACGGCTATCATTTTTTCATAACTTCACACAGATATAAAATTAAATAAAATAAAAGCATTAGATTATTTATGGTAAATATATTTTTAGGACTGCAACACATGTACATGTACTCCCGATGGTAAAAACTACATGTGCACATTGATGATGTGTGGACATCATCATGAAAAGAGAGAAACTGAAAGTAAGTTTAAAAAAAGTTTTTTTTTTATATTTTATTAAGTTTTTTATAGTATTGATTTATTGCATGTCGAATTTATGTGAATTTATCGCATGTCAAATAGAATAATTATAAATTTCAAATAACATCCACTTTTTATGTCCTAATCCACACAGTATTGTTTCCACCATTACAGCTCTTCAAAATACGGGCCCAAAAACTAATGGCTCTATAATTACAGATGTTGCAAACCTTGAAATAATACCTTAATGACAATAAGTAAATAATACAGAATTAAGATAGTATTTGCTAATACCAATATGCTAATATGCTTGTTAAATTACCACATTTAATTTTAAGTATTATAATTCTATGTTAATAACCATGTATGGGCATGAACTTTTGATTTAAAATAATCTTCGATGCTAAGCACATGTGGTGCAATAACCTATTAACTTGACCAAAAAAAAAAAGATTTCGGCTTGTTCCATTCAAAATGAATCGTTTAAACGTCTTAGCATGTTTTGATCAAAAATAAATAAATGTTCGAAATTAATAATTATAAAGCCACCACGAATAATATAGTATTATTACCTTTTACATCACCGAGATGTTTTCAATCAACTTCCTGGTTTGTGCCAGTAATCTATATCAAAAACTATCCTTTTTGATTTAGGTGTTCCCGACAAATGCAAACCCGGTACATCCAAAGTCATTGTAAGTTCAATTTTAGTAAAATTATTTTTCTTCGATTAATAAATTTAATTGTAATAATATATTTCCAATAAGGATTGCAACATATGCAATTGTGCAGCGGTTGGTGTGTGGGCTTGCACTTTAAAGAGTTGCGATGGTGGAGATGATTCTGCAATTTTACGTTCTCGTCGAGCAGGTAAGAATTGATGGTAAACCTATTAATAACGGTTACATATATCCTTCAATTAAAGCAATCCCTTCATATCTTTCTATTTGTTAATTTATAAACATACAAATATTTATATTCTTTTTCTATTTTCACAGTTGAAGAAGTCAAAGAAGTCACCATTCGTAAGTACCATCATAATTGATATTAGCAAATTTTTTAAATATTTTTTACAATATTTTTGAAAATGTTGTTTTAGAATCACTTGCAACTACGCCATGCACTCCTGGCCAAGAAACAAGATTGGTAAGCACCATTGTGTAATAAAGCTCACATTAAATTTTACTTATAATTTTCTATATATATAAAGCTCACTATATGGCTTCTTCTTGCGAATAATTTACAAATTTATAAAATAGTAGATAATTTATGAATGTCTTATACTTGACAACTTCTGAACAAAATGGGTTCTGACTTATAATATTTTCAGATCGTTATTAATATATTTTGTTACAATTTATACTAATTCAACTAATACCTAACGGTCCTTCAAGTTGCTAGTATTTCATAATTGTGCAGTACAAATATATAATTGATTGATTGATTAATTTAGCATTATAAAATTTCATTTAATCACCAATTCAACTTTATTCATAAGAAATTTAATTTTATTTTAGGATTGCAATACTTGCAAATGCGCCAGTGATGGAACAGGTTACTTTTGCACCCGCCAAGCATGTGCTCCAGTTCACCACCACAAACGATCAGGTATATTTTTTATTCTTTAATATTATTATAATTTTAAAAAATATATAAATTAATTATAAATTATTATATTTTTAGCTGAAGAAGTGAAAGAAGTGACCACAAGTAAGAATTGAATTAATATTTTATTAGAAGTCAAATAATTATAATTCAAACCAATTTGTTTAACCATTTTCAGCTTCTTTGGCAACGACTCCATGCACTCCTGGAGAGAAGACTCAAATTGTAAGTTCATATTTTTTTATTTATTTAGAATTATACAATAAGGACAAATGAACACTGACTGACTGTTTAAAATTTCTAAGTCTCTAAATAATGATTTTATTTCTGTTGCATGAATATCATTTTCTCGATTTTTTTTTATTGATTTTTGATTCCCCAAGTATGTATGTATGTAAGGTATTTGTGAAAGCAAAAGTGGGTACAAAGTTTGAAAATGATTTTATCACTTTAGAAAAGGTATTATTTGATATCATAATATAATGAATATTTTACTTCAGGATTGTAATACTTGCACCTGTGCCAGGGATGGCTCTGGATACGCCTGCACTCGCAAAATGTGTTTGCCAGCCACCCACGATCGTCGACGTAGAGAAGGTATTAACTTAATCAAAAACTTTTCCTGATATTTACTTACACTTTATAACTATACTTACGATATATACTTGTACTTTATATGCAAACCAGTTTTATATTAGAGTAAAATCTCGAACTTAAATATAACATTATTTTTAAATATTGGAATATTAATTAGTTAGCATTTTTGTAAAAGTAAATAAGAATTGTTTAATATTCGGTAATAATAGCAATCTAAAATACTTGGCTATGTATTGCATTAAAACATATATTCATTATTTGTTGACTTTATTAATAAATTAACTATGTTGTTATTTTCAGCTGAAACTGAAGAAGTCAAAGAAGTTACAACTGGTAAGCTATTTGAAATTTAAATGCGCAAATTTTAAAATCTTACTATTTTCTGGGATATAATTTTTACGTTTATTTCAGATACTTTGGCAACCACTCCATGCAAAGCTGGTGAACAAAGACAAGTGGTAAGAAACAAATATATCTCTTTTTTTTCTTTTCATTTTTTATGGTATTCAATTTGTATAGAAAATATAACTATATCATAATACATATTTGGTTTTTGGTTATTAATTAAATTTTTTGAATTATTATTATTATTATTAGGACTGCAACACTTGCACCTGTGCCGCCGATGGTACTGGATATCAATGCACCCGCCAAGCTTGTGAATTTGCAGTACATGATCGTAAACGTAGAGAAGGTTCGTTGTATAATTTGTATAATAATAAATAGTAGTTTTCGAAAAGCAGGTCCATAACGTGAGAACATAACAAATACAAGATTCCCTTTTCCCCTTATTCTCATTGCAAATTTATAACCAATAATCACTTTTTTTATTCATTTTTATGCATTTTTCTTTCCAAACGTCTCTTCCATGCTTCCTGATTCTTTGCTTTCAGTTCCCTGTATTTTGACTTTCTATAATTCATATATTTAATGTTATTTAAAATATTGAAGAAAATAATAAATATTTAATACTATAATTTTGCAATAAGTAAAGCAATTTTTTTTAAATTTTACATATATTTTAATCGTAATATAATAATAATTAGCATATTTATTATAATAGCAATAATAGCATTAGATGTCTTGTATCAACCAGTAATATCCATATTAATAGATTTCTTTTTATTCCAGCTAAAGAAGAAGAAATCAAGGAAGCTACAGCAGGTAATTCAATTTATATAACAATTGCAATTTTGATTGATTAAAATAGTTTTTAAATGAAATAACTTGATACCATCCCATATTTATTTTTAATAGTATATGTATACTACGTAGAATTCATTATATCATTATATCATATATTTAATTACCTTTTTTCTGTATAATTTTTCTATATAAGTACTTATATATAATATTTTTTTTATAGAAACACTAGCAACTACCCCCTGTACTCCAGGAGAAAAGGCTCAAGTAGTAAGTCTATACTTAAGAATTTATATTCACCATTAGAAATAGTTTACTTTTAATTTGATTATTTTATTTATTTATTCCTAAGCAATTCATAATCATTAATAATAAATGTTATTCCGGGCTCTTGTCAAGCTTATTCATAATAAGTAACAAAAATAACATAATATCATACAAAGTAACTGCGCAACGTCTGGTTCTGAAATAAAATCTTTAAATTTAGTGTTCGTCATCAAGTTCTCCATAATACAGTTTTCCATCGATTTAATGTTTTAATATAAAATTTGATTTATAGACTGCACTATTTATGGAAACTATTATTTACTTGTGCTAATGGTACAGGCTATACTATATACTTATAAAATTTTAAACAAAAGCTAAATATCTAATAATACGTAAACATGGGCAAAATATCAGGTAATGTAGAATGATGTTTTTCTCACTTTTTTAAATTATATTTTCTAATTTTTTAGGATTGCAATATATGCACTTGCTCTGCTAATGGTACTGGATTTGCTTGCACTCGCAAAAGTTGTCCCGTGTCGACGACGACAACCCACAGCCGCAAACGTAGATCAGGTAATAAATTTATATAAAATCTATTTATATAAAAAATTATATTAAATTCATATTAAATTATCTATAAAAAAATTTATACAAAATTGCATTTAATTTATTAAATCACAACATAATAGTTTTATAGTGCTATATTAATTAGGAAACTAATATTGTTGAAGTTTCTGAACTACTGATATTACTTTTAATAATTTAATACACTGTGTGTTGTAAAAAATTAAAAAATTAATAAGTAATTAGATTCTTATCTGTCTATTTAATAATAACTTTTAATAAAAATGCGATAAAATGCACTTATCATTTATTTCTTTATAGTATTGATTATATTTTACCATGATATTTTTTTATTTCTACACAATTTATTAAGATTAATTTAGTCCATTATTATTTGACTATAGTATTTTATGCTTTTGAGAAGTAAAATATATGATGTTATTTCACAGACGATGAATTGGAGACAGAGAAATTACGAGAGAAAGAATGCACACCTGGCGAAAACAAACACGATGTAAGTACAAACTTTTTTTTAGGACCATGTTTGGCACTTAATTGGTTATTTTATACGGATGTCTATTTATTTTATATAATTTTTAACTTCACGTAGGGTAAGTTATAGTAATTGGAAAAAAATCGATCGAAAATAATTATATATCTTTACGTTTCAAAGGTTTCTGAACATTTTGGCATACCTTAGAAAAAATGGATGTATGTGTATGTGTATGTGTGTGTGCGGATACAAACTTTCTTCGAATAAAGAAATTAAAAAATAATACCATTTGACGGTCAAAAGTGATCTTTAGACATATGCACATCATATCATCAGATATTTTATAAAGATTATAATATGTATAAATTGTGTGTACATTTCTATGGGTTCATACCAATGTTTAACGATAGACTACGAAGCGGCGCTTACGCGCTTAGATATTTCTACTCTAAAAAACATCTATGCAGCGTGATTGCATAGATACTGAAAATTTTCAAAAAAATCAGAATATAAAAAAAATTTAATTTTTCAAAGATGTCAATTTTTTCCAAAAATTTCGAAATTCTCAAAATTGTAATTATTTCACAGTTTTGAAAAAACTTTTTTTTTAATTTTAGTTTTTGGTACGGGAAATTCCTGCAATTTGCCTTAAGGCCCGATGCCATGCACCACAAGTTTTTTATATATATAAGCATTATGCGATTCAAAACTATGTTTTCATTTCAATTTAATTTCAGGGATGTAACACTTGCTTCTGCGGACCTACTGGGCATTGGGCTTGTAGTTTAAAAGCATGTATAAATCTGGCGGACTTACAAAAAACGCGCACTAAGAGAGAAGAAGGTAATAATAATTTATTTTTAATAATTATATTAACTAATATAATAATAAATAAAATGAATGAATTTCAGAAATATATAAATAAATTTCATAGTATAGTGATATTCATTCTGTCGATTTTTCAGACGATGAAAAAGTTGACAAAGAAGAGAAGAAATGCACACCCGGTGAAACCAAGCATGATGTAAGTGCTCATTTATATGTTAAATATTTTTTATACTTTAATATTTTGATAATAGCCTCACAATTTATTTTTATTTAGTTAAAATATGTTTTCATTATTTTCTTTCATGCCTTACTTTCAAATATTATGTACAATATAAAAGATTTATAGGGTGTGTAATTTTTTTTTGAAAATGCTATAAAAAACTACTGAATTTTTCAAATTTGAGTATTGTTTAAAATTTCTTTTTTATTTGAAAAGATATAAAGTAATATCATTCAAAAGGCTACCTCGGCCGACTGCAGTAGTCTGCGCGATTGAGAAGTTTAAAAAAAGTTAATGGCGGACATTTTATTAATTTATTTTTTTGGGACGCATTAAGTTATTATTGGACGTGTATTACTATAATGTACATTTTTGTATGAATTTCATCATAGGGTTGTAATACTTGCTTCTGCGGACCTACTGGAAGTTACGCCTGTTCACGAAAAGCATGTGGAGTTCCACCCAAACCAGACTCAGAAACACGCACTAAAAGACAAGGTATAAATTTTACGAAAAAATACAAACCATTTACTGTTTATCATTTTAGTATGTAACGACGATAATTATTAATTTGCAAGTTAAATCAATAATGTTTTATTTACAGCCGAAGAGCCAAAAAAGGAATGCACACCTGGTGAAACCACGCATGATGTACGTACAGATCATACTCAGTAGTAAATAGAATACTCATATTTAGTTTTTGCTAGTATTATCATTTAAACAACTTTACAATTAATATTTACTAAAGTTATTCGTAAAATCAAAATTTGTCTATATATTTATATATATTTTTACATAACATTTATGTAAAAAAATTGAATGAAACATTTCACATATTTCTTTTCTTTTAATTCGTTTAATACAAATTAATTCTTCTAATATAAATTATTTTATTCAATTTTGTTTTTGCTGCATTTTAATTAATAATCTATATTTCTATGTATTGTTCTGTTTTATGTACGTATTTATTTTAAATATGAATTTTTGATAATATTTTTATGCACAGGGTTGTAATTCATGCTTCTGCACTGAAAGTGGAGTGTATGCATGCACTCTGAAAGCATGTTTAGGCCCACTGAAGAATTTCAACCAAGAAACTCGCACTAAACGTGAAGGTATAAATATTTATAAAATGATAATATAAACTGACAAAGAGAGGAAGATAGTCACCATTAATAACTATAAATTTGTTATTATTTTTCCACAGATTCAGAACCTGAATGCACTCAAGGAGAAGTTAAACAAGTGGTAAGATTATTATTAATTAAAAATAATCATTTATTTTTATGATATTATAATTATATTGATTTTATTTTGTTTACAGGACTGTAATACCTGCAGATGCGCTAACGGTGTGTTTGCATGCACCAGAAAAATGTGTTTGCCTGAAGATAAAGCACCACGTACCAGAAGACAAGGTAATATAATTTAATATATTATTATATAAAATTTTTTTCAAATTTTGTGTCAAGCAATATATATTTATTTTAGCAATGTTATACGATATTTGAAATTTTAATAATTATAAATTTGACCTTTTTCTATTTGTAGCAGGCACCTGTGTTCCTGGATCAACTAAAAAAGAGGTGAATAACAAAAACTATTCTAAATATTTTGTCACGTTTTATAAATTAATAGCTTTTTAACTTCCCGTAGGGCAAGTTATAGTAATCGCAAAAAAATCGAAAATGAAAATTTTTATATATCTTTACGTTTCAAAGGCTTCTGAACATTTTGGCATACCTTAGAAAAAATGGATGTATGTGTGTGTGTGTGTGTGTATGTGTGTGTGTATGTGTGTGTGTATGTGTGTGTGTATGTATGTACGTGTGTGTATGTATGTGCGGATACAAATTTTCGTCGACGATTTCGGGAACACGGATTAACCGATTTGAATAATTCAAAAAACATTCGATTCGTATTGATAAGGAGACGTGCTGATTAGTTTTTGGCGAAGGCAGGTCTAGCCGTTCCGAAGATACGGGGCAAAAAGTGCCGAAAACGGTAACTCAGTTTTTAAGAGAACGGAGCATCCGATTTAAATAATTCAAAAAACATTTCACTTGTATTGACAAGATGAAGAATCGATGAAATTTTCATAAAGGTAGGTCTAGCGGTTTCGGAGATATGGAGGAAAAAGTAAAAAAAATAGCCATTTGGCGGTCAAAAATGATCATTAGACATATGCACATCAAATTATCAGATATTTTATAGAGATTTTAACAATAAGTATACATTTTGTTAACATTCCTATGGGTTCCGTACCAATGCTTATGCGTTAGACAGCGACGCGGCGCTTACGCGCTTTATATTTTGTGCCTATGCAGTTAAATCAGTACGATTGCTTTGAAAAAAAAAGTTCAGATCTTCCACAATATGTCAAAATAAAGAAAAAAAAATTTTTTTTTCAAAAAAAAAAATTAAAAAAAAAATTTTTTTTTGAAATTTTTTTTTTCAAAAAAAAGTAATTTTTTGTCCATATATATAGTTTCTCAAAAATCTTATTTTTTCAAAGTACATTTTTTTCAAAAATGTTAATCGTTTTTAAAAAATTAATAATTTTTGGTACGGGAAGTTCCAGCAATTTGCCTTAAGGCACGATGCCTTAATGCTTTAAGACAGAATTCCACTTACAGCTAGTTATTTTATAACTAATCTTTGATTTTAGGATTGCAACACATGTACATGTAACGAAAAAGGAACTGCATACAGATGTACTTTGCTCGCATGCGGTGGAGAACATATTCGCATCGAAAGAGGTAACAAAAATTAAAAAAAATAATAAACCATGTCTGAAAATAATAGAAATTTGTTCATCTATTCAAGAGTATTAGCTTTCGATTACTGCGTTTTTGAATAATCCAACGGTAATACCTTTAACTTCATAATTGTGTCCGCAGATTTTGAGCAAATTCAGGATCCAATTATATCTTCGAATATCACGATATCTAATACAAAATTTTATTGTTGTGCTGTAGATATGAATAATAATTAACAAAAATATGAAAAATTAATAAAAAATAGAATGACTTTATTAGACTTGAATATTAATTATAAAGCAAAATAATTGTAATCAAAAATACTAGTTGTTGCTAGTGTCGTTAAAGATACTATTAGAGATAATCTTTTGAATTGTAGAACAATGTTATATTATTGATTCCTTCAAAAATTTATGGAATTAAATTAAATCTAGAAAAATACATTAAAATCTGATTCTTGTTGTGAAAAAAAAAAGAAACTTACGTTGTTTTATAAAATTATACATGTTTTCCAATGGTAGATCATCTAATGAAGCCTTCATCATATAAATAAACATACATATTATTTTTACAATCTTATAATCTATTTTGTAGATTGGTTGTATATGGTTTAATACAATATCTGAATAAATCACTAAACAAAAAATGAATATAAATCAATATTTAAATTATTTTTTTTCCTAATTGCAGATACTCCATCAAACTTGCCATCGACTAGATGCGAACCCAACTCTGTATTCAAACAGGACTGTAACACTTGCAGATGTAATGCTCAAGGAACATTTGCTGCATGCACCTTCAAATTATGTATTCCAGGACAAAACTAAAATATATAAATTAATTATTATTGAGAAGAATGAATAACTAATATCAAAATGAAAGACGTATGTCAGTTTAATCTCATATAAAATGCAGCGGATACTTAACATACGAGTAAGTTAGAATAACTGGTAAAATATATTTCTTGCATTAAATAGTACAAATATGTTAATTTTTGTAATATAAATAAATTTAAAAAAAAATAAAATAAATGTAAGTTGTTGGTAATATAAATCTATGAGTTTTAATTTGATGAACCTGTATAAAATCAAAATGGTAATTAGCAATATCTCATTATTAATTTTTATTAATTCCGTTGTATATGATTTATATTTTAGCTTAAGATAATTCATACAGATAAATACAATAACAAAATAACGCGGCATGCAATTTTATGGTTTCTACCAATTATTAGATCATTATACCAAACTACGAGCAAATGTTATTATAAAATATAGAAAACTTCCACAACCATTAAAGATTAGTTCCAAAGTTTCCTAACAAATCGACGGATTATTACACTTTACGCCATATCGAACTGGAGCATTGTATAAAACAAGGATGATTCTATTTAAATAAATAAATATTATTAGTATTGCTGTATTATTTAAATATGTGATTTAAATCTGTATTATTTTGCATGCTGGTTGCTCTGATGAACAGCACCTGCATCGATATTAAATTTCGATGAAAACAGAACATTATAAAAATGAAAATAGTTATCTTCTTAGCTTTGAAAATTTGAAATCACAATTGTAATTTCTTGATTAATATGTCAATGTATAAAACGTAATTTTGATCGTTCACATTTTTTCAAAATTTGATATTTTTTTCACAATTTCGTTTTGCACTCAATCATTCTTGGTATAAAGAACCAACAAACTTTGTTGTTGATGAAAATAAATCATGATTAGTTCAAGATTATAGAGTTAATTCCAATAACTACAAGTGAGACTTGTAAACTTTAAAGATGAGGTAACAGCTTAAAACTATTTAAACTAGATAGATTTTCCGGGAAAATGAAACGGATTTTGTGGATATTATTATCGAATATATTAGCCAGATTAATGGTCTGTTGTATTTGCAGTATATACGGTGATAATTCCGGAAGTTGCCATAGTTGAACACAAACTATGCCAAAAACACAACTAAGCTAATGAAATGTTGGTCTTCAATAAAATTATATTAATAGTTATTCTTGATTATTAAAGCAATTAGAATGAATTGATATCGAGGTCACAATAATCCTCTAAGAATGTATAATACCTACACAAATTATTTTCTTTGAAATTCGCTATGAAATTAACTGTTCCGAGCATTCATACTTAGAAAATTATAAAACTTAGTATTTTGGATTCTTGTTCTATACTATTATATCATTCATATATATGATTTACTATAATTTGAGCTATAGCATTTGTTAACCCTTTCCACTCGGATGCCGTCGCTCCGGCGGCAAAATACGTACTAAATCTGCAATTAGCGAGTGGAAAGGGTTAATATTGCTAGTTTTAAAGAGGAAAAATGGTTGATGAGCTATGTTGATATTTACCAAAACTATTGTAATTATCAAATATTTTTTGAAGAATTGGAAAATTTTAGTAGATCCACACATTATGGTTAATGGAAGAATTAAAATATTTACAATATATAATGTGGAATCGTAATTTATTACTCTAATTTATTACTTGCACAAAAGCACTTCTATGAATAACAATAAACTAATACACTATTGTAAGTCTAATCAATCAATAATTGGAATATTGAATCATAAATTAAACTATATACGTATGATTGATATTTGAGTTGAAATTAGATATTTAAATCTTTGTCCACTTAATGAAGTTTTCGAACTGGATCTAATAAACTTATATATTTTAGTAGATGGCTTCATGTCTAAAGTTTAGACTCTTAGACATATATATATATATATATATATATATATATATACATGTTATCATAATAAATCCCAGTTTGCCAAATGACATCTAAATGTACAAATAATTAATCAATTCCGCCATAAATGTATGAGTAAATGGGTTTTATACAGTTGTTGGTTTCCTATAACACAAAACAGTGCTATTAAATAACATTCGAACAATGTCGAGCAATTAAATTAATTAGATTGCATATGTAAACATCGCATATGACTTGACTCATAACAATAATATTACGTTCGTCATGATAAATATTTGCTTTTCCAGTCTTTGTTGACTGCTATGATTTAAAAAGAGCATATTTTTTATTGTTACCTAATTTAGAATATATTGTGATTTAAATTTTTTTGTCTATGTTTTATATAAAAATGAAAAATATTTCAGATAGAGCAGAATTTCAAACAAAACATATTTGGAAGAAGTATATTTTCAAAGAAAATTATTTAAATTGTAAATATATAGTTCAATATATTTTTTTCAGAAAATTGATATATTGCTAAATACAATATTTTTCAGAATTTCTTTTTATTCCCAAAATGTTTAAATTGATATTTGTACTATTTTGTATTTATAGACTAGAGGCAGCGACAGACTTAGGTGAGTTTTTAAAAATAAAAATAAGTCTCTATAGTTGATTTATTATTTTAAATTTCATTCATTTCTATTTTCGGTAAGCAAAAATATATTATGAGAAAATTCTTCTAATGTTTTTCATATTTATTTTTTATTTTGATTGATGATATTTTGATATCTATTTAATTTTTTGTTAATTAATATTATAGTAATGATTGTTAAAATCATTACTATAATATTAATTAACAAAAAATTAAATTTTACTTACTAAATAGAGAATTTTGAGATATCGATGATAATAATAAACAAAGGTAAAACAATTATAAAGGTACATTTGTAATATAGTATTATAGCTCAAATATTTTACTTTTTTTTTCAGAAAATTACATAAAATCCAAGCCAAAGGTTTGCGATCCGGAACAATGGTCAAACCTGGTATGATGTTTTAAATAATCTCATTTAACATGTTCAACCCAGTTAATATAAAAATGTTATCTAAATTAATCTCTCAAACTTTAATAAATAATCTTTAGTCAAATAGGGATATATTTCATTCAAGTAAATTTAGGTAACATTCGTTAAATGCGTATCTTATAGCCATTTAATGCATACCTTGTCGTCATTTGATATTACTAAAAATAATTTTTTTAATAATTATTTAAATAATCACATATTTTTCTTTACAGGCATGTAATCGATGTTTGTGCAATTCTTATGGAACTGCGTATGCAGCTTGTACACAAAGAAATTGCTTTGAAGGTAATTTTTTAAAACTTAATAAGATTTTAACATTTTCTAGATTTGACTAAAAATATTAACCAGGAAACTTTTGTTATTTTTTGTTTCGAAATTAATTCATCTATTATGTTGAGCTAAGGTCAACTCTTTTTTAGTGTTAAATAAATTATTTTATAATACTGATTTTACTAATTATTTATTAGTTGTATTATTAGTCTTCTGCAATACAATAAACATTTTATTTAGTACAAGATTACATTCCTATAGGATATACAGGTCGTTAGGTTGCCCAATTTTATTTGAGAGATCGTTATGAAAAATATCTAAAATATGCTGTATAATCATATCAAGTATATAAGTTCATCATATATCTAAAAAGATTTACAAATTTCGCATGTGTAATTAATTTTTGGACATAATTACTTTAATAAAGAAATATCACGATCTATTTGTAAAAAAAAATATATCAACAAATTTAACAAGTATTCTTGCGTTGATTGAATAATTAAGCTAGAGTTTAAAACACTATTTTATAACTTACACAAAAAGTTATTTAATAAGTTCTTTTTACAGAACACTAAATATATGAGGGGTGAACTATGTATTTGATGAAAATTAATTATTCTTTAAATTTATTTTACTTTTTTATAGAAATTTGTAAACCTGGTCTGATGTGGTCGATTGAAGATGAATGTACAACGTGCATTTGCAACAATGATGGAAATGCAATTTGCATACCTGGAGTTTGTTAATCAAGGCATGCAATTTTATTTATCAGTATACTTTAAATTATTTAAATCATTAACATGTGTTATTAGTGCATTCTATGGATGTGAAAAATCAGAAATACTTCAAATTCTACGAACACGTAAAAATTAGAGAAATATGCCATATTTTTATAAACTATTTGTGTTTGATTATGGGAATGGTTGTGCTATTTTATATTCACATATTCAAATCATTGAAAAAAATGTTTTTAATGTATATTACCGATTTTACACAATTTTATTGAAACCATCTTATATATTGCATTTATCAATATGTATCCATATACCATTATTACAGTATTTTAAATATTTAATACTTACTTCAATATATAAATATGTTGTATTTTTCTAAAATATTAATTCATGAGCGACAGCAAATAAATTTTTAATGTTTTTATAATTACATAATATTATTTTTTTCATATTTTTTTTTTATTAAAAAGTAAATATTTTATTTTGATTAGAATAATTTTAGGCTACTGATTTTAAAATGATTTATAACATGTTTTTGAAAAATAATATATCAATATAACTTATTGAAAATCTTTAAGATTTTAGGTATTATTATCAGTATTATAAATTAAATTAATGAATTGTGCTTTTTATTACTCTCGGGAAACATTATTAACAAGAAATTTTATATTAGGTTAATATGCGCAATATTTCTATTAAATTTGTTTAATTTTTACAATAATAATACAAATTGCTTTTGATTTTGATTGCGTATTTTCATTTACTAATTATGGATATAATGATAAAAATAAATGTATTATAAATATCAATAATAATTCTACCGCAAATATTTTTAGAACGACCTTATCTTCAACATATAATTCTTTATCGCTAATTATAATGCAAATAGTTGTGAACTAAATTATTTAAATGATTTGACACGATTAAGAGATTAATACCAAATTGTTAATCAATGGGAATGCTTTCAAGAACAATTTGCTTAAATTTGTTTGAAATAAAGTCATGAAGTACGCTTTATTTGCATTTTGTATTTTTCTTGTTATTTACAAAAGTTAGTGAAAATAATATTATTCATTCAAGTGAAAACTAATATTGTGACTAATTTTAAAGCCATATTTAATTGTTATTTATATTTCTAGTGCAGGGGTTGCAAGTTTGTATGCCATTTCATGCTATAATCCATGTAAGTTGAAAGATTATAAATTAGTTATTTAAATAAATTATAAATACAATATTACATATAAGACAAAATAGGTAATTGGTCGTTATATATATATATTTTTTTTTTTATTTCTGTTAATTTTAACAATCAGATTACAATACAATCTATAAGTTAAAAGTTATGGTATTGAAAATCAAAATCAAAAAGAAAAAAAAAAAAATTGGTCGTTATATGAATTAAATTATATAAACTTATATTAACATGTTTATTATAAATTTTAGGATTGTAATACCTGCATCTGTGGCACTGATGGATTAGGATATACATGTACTCAGTTCAGGTGTATTAAAAGTAAGACAAAATTACATAAATTAATTATTTTAGTACATTTATCTTTTATTAAAAAATAATAAATATAACCAACAAAATAATGAGTTATCAGTATTTTAGATTTATATTTATAATATAATAAATAATATTTTATATAGATAATTATCATATATCAGAACGAAATGAACATAATGCAATGTAAATCATCAAAATTACAAATAAAAATTATCTATAATTTTGAACTTAATCATCCAATAGAGTAATATTTGCATTTGCTATGTTAAATATATAGAAATTTTTAGTTATTTGTTTCAAATATAAATCAATGATTTTCATCAGATTTAAATCTGCTAAACTGGAACCTTGAACAAGATTGAATTATAAAGTAATTAATGATAATTTATTTACTTCTGGAACAAAACGCTGCAATAATTTTTTCAACTTAAATTTATATCTTATTATTATATTTATTTAATTTTAAATTATTTTTTCTGCAGATATTCGATGTACCCCAAATAAAGAATATGCAGAAGACTGCAATTTGTGCACTTGCAACAAATATGGCACTGGTTCAGCCTGCACCACAAAATTGTGTTATAGTAGAAGTACTGTTATGTAAAAACAAAAAACTAACATAACTTTTTTAGAAGGATGATTTTTTTTAAATTTATAGCAATAGCTAAAATTTAAAGTAATGTTACAAATAAAATAATTTAATTATAATGCATTATAGTTTAAACTCATTTATATTCTTTTACCTGATGCTGCTTGTATGTAGAGATGTATACATTGTAACATTTTAGAAACATTAATATGTAATGTGCTTTAAAACGTGACAAATTTATTAAATCTATGATTAGTGTACGAAAATATAAAGTACTGTAATTTTCCAATGCATTTTACAACTAGTATTTGTTCAAATACGTGTTGTTCTCTATCACAACAATGAAATTCACAGTTTTTCTGTTTTATTTATTGATTGTAATATCTGGTAAGTAACCAACTATATGAATATATACACACAGATATATATATATATATATATATATATATATATATTTATATATATATATAATTTAATTTTATTCCAGGTACACATTGTGTTAAAGTTTGCAAGTCCGGCGAAGTTTTGAAGAAGGTAAGTTTCACAGAATAAAACTCGAATATTTTGCGGTCTTGCGTAAAATAACTTTTTAATAACTTTTTAGTTTTCAAGTAAATAATTTTATTTATTAAATTTATCATAAGTATGTACATAATTACATGTGTTTTTCAAATGTATTTCCAGGATTGCAATACATGCATTTGCAATGAGGATGGAACTGGCTACAGATGCACAGAATTATACTGCCCAAGTAAGAAACTAATTACATTTATAATAACTTATTTTACATACATAAAAATAAGTTGTAAATGCAATTTATTAATGCCTTCTAATTTATAATATAGAGCGTTGTAAACCCGGCGATATCAAGGAAGAGGTGGGATTGTGTTTTATAAATTACATAATAATATAATAATATTATATATATTTAGTTAATAATTTGTTTAAGGATTGTAACATATGCATTTGCAATGAAGCTGGGACTGAATACTCTTGTAGTACCTTAGATTGTGGTAAGGATAAGTTAATATTGTTTATCTGGACTTAATGAGATTTAAGTATTTTATTCATATTATAATTTCAGATGATTTAGTCTGCAAGCCATGTTCAACATTCAAGAAAGAATGCAATGATTGTCAGTGCAATCGCTTTGGCACTGCAGCTCAATGCACATTACTTCCTTGCACAAAACTAATTACTAAGCTTTAAATATAATATATATTATATATAAAGGTGTATATATAATATATTAAATAGTATTGATATTATTTGCAGTTTTCATTATTTTTATTGTAATCTGCAACAGTTCTAATTATATTAGGCATGCTAAATACATCATTGCTACAAAGAAATACTTAACATTAATCAGAGATGACGTAATCAAATTGATGATTTATATCATATGCAGTCAAATACACCAAATATATAATAATATCGTACAACAATTGTACGAAATATATTTTATGCTTCAAATGCATTGCAAAATTCACATTTAAATAAAATGAACTATAAGTTGATGAATTCCATATATTTTTCTACAGTAGTGCAAATGCTCTATAAAAAATTACAAATGTTTCAATGAAGTACATTTATAAACCATGCGGATAATCTTTGTGTAGGATGTTGATAATTGGTTATTTTGATATTTATTAATATTACAGGTAAATAATTTTTGCTACTCTTTTATTTTTTATTTTTTATATTTTTTAAATTTTTTATTTTTTATTTTTTTATACCTTTCTTTACTTTTTTCTGGTACACAATTCATTCTTTTATATTAAAAAACTTTTTTACTTAATATTCTGTATTCTTCGTCATTGATTAGTCTGTATAAAAATTGTTTTTGACAGAAAAAACCTGATGATGGAACGTATCTAGTCCCAAAACGTCGTAATTAAACATCTACAAAAAACAAATTGTTTTTTAATTATTGGATTTATTGTTTGGAAATGAAACATATATCAATTTATTGAAATAATCCAGGACTTGTCTATTAAATATAAATAAATATATGTATATATATATATATGTATATATATATATATATATATCTAGGTATATATACATGTACTATATATAATTCCATTTATAATATTTTTATTTATACAGCTTTTTAATGCATATACAAAAGAAAATGCAAATAATAAATCTTGAACAAATTCCACTTTCCGGTATTAACTGATGAAAAACAAATAATGTTTATGTCAAGTCTCGATTCATTTACCATATTTGTAACATATGGTTGAAAAACATATTTTACTTCGTGACATTTGTTTAGAAATGTTATCTAGCATATAAAAACCAATGTTTTGTACTTTTCCCAGACATTTTTAACTGAAAATCCACTTGAAGCAAGTATAAAGAAATTATTAGGAAGATGAATTTGATTGTTTCTTTGTGTTGCATTTTTGTACTATTTATTGGTAATAGTTCAATCATATATATGTACCAATATTTTATGATAACTATTAAAAAATATAAATATAATTGTGCCATATACATTGTTTTCAGGAGTGCAAAGTTCTGATTGTGACCAAGTCTGCGAACCAGGAGAAACTAAAAAAGTGGTAATAAATCTAATAATGATTTTCGATGTTAAACAGCATCTAAAAACAATATTTGAATCAATTTAATGCTAATTTTTAATTTATACAATAAAATTTAGGATTGCAATTTTTGCACGTGCAATGACGAAGGGACTGGTTTTATGTGTACCGAAATGGCTTGTTTAGGTAAAAATTCTAAATTTAATTATATATATGTATATATCTATATATATATATATATATATATATATATATATATATCATAAAAACTGGTTGATATACGTGACAAATATATACCTTGTCACGAGTTCTGGTTATAAAGTGTTCTACTTTGGGTGCATTACTTCTTTATATTAAATATTTTTAGTAATATTTAATTACAAGAACAATAAAAACCAGTGACGTCTATGGTCAGCAGACAACTTAATATTTATCCTGAATTAATTCAAAATTAACCAAGATTAAATTTATTATGTTGTTTCTGCATAAGCTGCTGATAACGAAAAAATATGCAAACAGAGCGTGAAAATATAAAATATAAAGTGAAGTGCAAAATTTTCAATAAAAGATAAGCCTCTGATTAAAATGGTATTTATCTTTATTCGTTTAAATTTGCGTTCTACTTACCTTAAATATATAAATACTGAGATTTTTTTTATAAAAATTGTATTATAATTCGAGTTCTTTTGAGAGTCTTGAATTTACTTTGTAAAATTTACATTTTGTGCTTAATAAATAATTATAAAAATGAAACTAATGATCATATTATTTTGCATCGTAGTCTCTGTCGCTTCAGGTACATGGTATTGATATATAATATTTCAATATTTTTATTAAGGTATTGTAATGTAATTTAATATATACATTATTTTTTTTCTAGAACAATATTGTGAACCAGGAGATATGTATGAAGAGGTAATTACAATATTTACATGATTGTACTTTTCTCACTATTTAATAATAGATGTTTTGAAACAAAATTATAAGTTAATTTTTTTTATTAGTTGCTAATAATATGTATAATTGGATATATAATTATAAATTTGACTATGTGTGTTTCACGTAGTGTATTAAAATGTTTAAATTTGGCAGTTACAACATTTTCTAAAAATGTTATTATTATGTTTTAAAAATACCTTTTACCCGTTTTAGGATTGCAATATTTGCGTTTGCAACGATGCTGGAACTGAATATGCATGCTCTCGATTAGATTGTGGTACGTAAATGAGACTCTAATGTTGTATTTTATTTTATGTTATTTAAAGATATTTATAATTATAATGTAAAACTGTATTTTTAGATAATTTAGAGTGTAAACCATGCAGTACTTACATGGATGATTGTAACACATGTCATTGTAATCGATTGGGAACTGCAGGAGCTTGTACATTAATGGCCTGTCCTTAACAATAATATTCGAAGAAAAAATGTATGACAAAACTTTACAAATAAAATAAATTTGCATATAATTTTATTTTTTACATTTGTGTGTATACCTAAATTTAAGTTTAAAATCCGAGTATCCCAGCATAGTTATTATAAATTGCAATTTCCCATAGGCTGGGTAAAAAGGAACAGCAAGGAGGAACAAATAAATCCAATATTTTATTAAACAGGTCCAATATTTTATTTTTAATTTTGAAGTGATCTTTTGAAATAAGAGCTACATTATTTAAACTATGCGAAATACAAATATCATAGGCACACCTTTTACAATGATATTACAATGATGATTCTTTTGAAATAGTTTTGGTTTTGTTCATATAATCATCAGCAGAGTCGGAATAACTATTATCTCTTCAAAGTTCCATTTATAACTTAATATACTTTTTTATTTACTATTTTCTTATTTTTTATACTTTTGGCATTAATATTAGAATTCGAGAATAAATTAGGTAAGAATTTTAAAATTCGAGATACCCAACAGTAAGTCTGTAAATACTTCTATTTTGCATCCAAAAAGTTATCTCAAAACCTACATATGGTAGCAACATATGTAGGTTTTGAGATAACTTTTAGGGTGCTTATATGTGTTTATAATGTGTTTATATTATGGACCTTCAAAATATAAGTATATGAAATTAAAAGTCGATACATATACTAAAAAAATAAACACAGTTTTTGCAAACACCAAGATATCACATATCTTGTCACGAGATTTGGTTCTAAAATGTATACATTGCGTGCGTTACCTTCCTTTATTAATATTTTATTAAAAAGATAATAAAATGCATGGACTTCTATGGTCAGCAGACATTTAAATATTTATTCTGAATTAATTCAAACCTAATAAAGATTAAATTTATTATGTTGTTTCTGCGTGAGCTGCTAATAGCAAAAAGATATGTGAAAACAGCGTGAAAGAAATATAAAATAATATGCAAAATTTTCAATAAAAGATAAGCCTTTGATTATAACGTTTATTATCTTTATTCGTTTAAATTTACGGCAGAAATACTGAAATTATTTATAAAAAAATTATTGCGTTTTGGTTCTTTCGAGATAGTTGAATTTTGTTTTTAATTATAATATACACTTTGTGCTTACTAAATAATTATCAAAATGAAAGTATTAGTAATATTATTTTGCATCGTAGTCTCAGTTGCTTCAGGTACTTGCGATTGATATTATATAGTTTAGTATGTTTGTTAATTATACTCTGTATTATAATACAAAAAAATTTAATATATACTTTGATTTTTTAAGAACAATATTGTGAACCAGGGCACATATTTGGAAAGGTAATTAAATCTATTACAAATTCCCATGTTTGTGCTTTTTTTTTCATTCTAATAAAGTGATGTTTTATAGAAAATTTCAATCCTTTTTTTTGTTTGTATATATAATTGATTTAATTTGATAATTAATAATTTTGATGGAGGGTTTTGTTATTTACTGTATGAAAAGTTCAAATAATAAACGTATTAATTACAATATTTGATAAAAATATTTATAATCATCTGAAAGTATTTATTGTCTATTTTAGAATTGCAATTTTTGCGTTTGCGACAATGCTGGTACTGAATATGCTTGCACTAGATTAGATTGTGGTAAGTAAATATAATCATATTGTTTACTTATAAATATTTATAATTTTAATATAAAACTCAATTTTCAGTTAACTTGGAATGTGTTCCATGCTCTGAATTCAAAAATAAATGTAACGAATGCAAATGCAATCGATATGGAACTCTATATGCTTGCACAGAAATGTACTGTCCTGATTGAGATTATTATGACGAGGATTTCATTTTCCCGTCCTCGTAAAAAAAGAATCAAACTACTATTTATTTTGTAAAACATTGCTATATTCAATACTACACGTTATTACTGATATTCCTTCTGCCCTGCCTTTTTAATAAATTATTGGTATGTGTTACATACTTACATGTGGAAACATTTACTACCGCTACCTCGATGGATGTCGGGTTAATTACAAAAGTGGCTGGCCAAAACTTGACCTGGCTGTTCTTAGCAATTATATTCTAAAGTGAAGATGTATAAAAACATGTAAAAATAAAATAAATATGCAACTAATTATTCTTTTTTATTTTTTAATATTATGTATATTTAGGTTTAGAAAATCAGACTTGCTAATTTTTTTAATTTCTCGATGATCCAAGCCACCAATTGAAAAATTGAAAAAAAGTATGTGTGGCTGTGTGAACTGAAACTATGCGATGAAACTCGAAACAGACTCGCATTGAATAATTTTGTGAACCGACCGGCCAAGTCGTTTTTTTTATAATCAAAAAATAATGAACAGATTTCAAAAATTTAGAAAACGTTTGAAAGATATCAATGTGTCCCAACTGATATCTTTCAAACGTTTTCTAAATTTTTGAAATCTGTTCATGATGTTGTGCAAAAACGCGGTGTTGTTTAAATTTTGGTAAGGATTGGCTGAGCCTTTTTTTGTAATTAAATGTTAAATAAAAATCGTTGACTTTGGTAAAACTTTATTGTCTGGTGTACTCTAGTGTATGGTACGGGGTATTCTAGTGTATAACAGTGAATTTTAGGTCGTTTTTAAAGTGTCGTAAAAAATGGAATGAATATTTTTACTATCCTTTTTTATGACCTGTTTATTAATATTATTAAAATCCAATAACAAAATTAAAAAAAAATTAAATTTGAAAAACTTGCAGCTGATGAAGTCTCAAAAAATTGGCACCTAAGTCTTCTTACATTAATCTACAATGATGTCGCAATCGCCCGAACTAACGATGAGTAAAAAAATATTTTTTTACAAAATGTTGACGGTATGAAAGAAAAGTGATTTTTTACTGTTTTTTTTAATTTCTCGAATTGCGGATGATGAAATAATTCATATGACCATAAACTGTCATAAATTGGTTTAATAATTTTTAAGACTTCTTAATGCCTTTTGTCTGATTAGACCCTGCTGGGAGCTGGAATTAGAACCAGTTTGGAGACCAATTTGGTCAGTAAAATAACTTTATCTCCAAAAATAATTCAAATTTTCAAAAAAGTTCTTGTACCCATATTCTTAGATAGTTGATCTTTGAAAATATGAAACAAAAAAATCATTTTTTTTTTATTCTACACTATAGAATACCCCTAAACATCCTAAAATATTGTGTAAGACTACGAAAAGTCGTTTATATTCGTCACTGGTGAGATCGTGAGATGGTGAGATCGTACCCTAATCATTAGCATATGGCAACACCGAAGTTTTCCGGGCGAATCCACTGTAAACATGACAGCTGTCAACTGTCACTTGTGTATACGTTATTCACGTCCTAAGTGTGGCGTAAATAATAAAGTAATTTTGAACATTTTCTGTAATTCGAATAATATTAAGATTTCAGAAATGTAAGCGGTTTGAAATTGGTTGATGTTAATATCATATAGTAATTAAATATATACGTTCACTGCTATACATTGCCAAGATCTGCTGTACTTGACGTTTGAGTTGTTTTTATAATTCAACTAATTCTTTCTGGAAATATTAAGATAAGTACAATGTTTGTGACAATACCAATTATTTCACAAAGCGTTGACAATTCTGATTATTACCAAACCTAAAATCACTTGCTATATCAGAACATTAAGACGTTATGGAGGATAGATTAAGTATAACATCAGCAGATTCCATCATATCGAGTGAAGAATTTGAAATTGTGCCAGAAAAACCAGTCAGCAGTCCAAACTTACCAAATACTCCTACTCTTAACATTGCCCATGGAAACCTGGATGATTTGAAACAAACTCTGACTGAAGTTTTATATGAGCCCGATGTAAATTCTGGTAGGAATACACAAAGTTTATCTTCTTCTATACGTGTTATTGGATCTAGTTCAGCAATGGACTCAGAAAATATCAAAATTGATGCTGCCAGAAAAGTAGGTCAATCCACCTTTTATGATAACAAGGATGAACAGGTCAGCTCTGTTGCAACTGAAAAAGCAGATGACATGAAACCTGAAACATTGGAAACTGATGATGATGGTATGTGTAGTTAAAATTATAGTCAACTTACTAAAACATTATTTGTATACAATAAAATCTAATACATCTATGCATGATATTGCATATTTTACATTCTTGTCATCATTTTAGATTCCCTAGCGGTGTCTGATATTGACCAAGATTGCACAGTTTTTAATGGGGTCACCTATTTGGGAGCTGCTAATATCAATGCACCAAAAAGTGAGGCTGAAATTCATCGGAACATGTCTGTATTAAACAGTGCTCCTGGGGGTTTGAAAGTCAGCGTCAGTGTACCTACCTGTTCAGAAGGAGTTGTTGTGTGAGTCAAATAGTATTTATGCACTAAATTAGCTATGAGTAAACAACATGTGTATCTGCATTTAATTCATTATTTATTTATATTCAAATTTGACAGTGCAATTCATTAATGATGAACATTGATTAATTACATATGTATTAGATGATCTAATTATCCAAAATGAGTTTGTAAAGGAAATTCTATCTAGAGACTTATGGACAATGTTGCTATTTTTATTTATCTCATTTTATTTTTTTATTTCTTATTTGGAATAATTAGAAAAACCAACAATGTTCAAAACTAATTAACAACTTATTATTGATGTATGTGGAATGAATCAATGTTGTCATTCTACATGTGTTCTTTCTCTATGATCTTATATATATATATATATATATATATATATATATATATATATATATATATATATATATATATATATATATATACAAATAATTAACTAATAGCTAATATGTATATACAATCTTTTTAGCCTTTATGATGGAAGTAATAATTCTGTGATGGCCCGTTATGAAATACATAGGATTTTATTCTATGCTCGAGGAGCTGCTGGAAGTGCTGATGCTGCTTGTTTTGCATTTACTTGGTCACATGGTGAAAGCCAAGAGTGTGCTGTGTTTCAATGTCATGTATTTAGATGTGACATAGCAGAAGCTGTCGGCCAAGTTTCAAGTAAGTTAAATGTATTTATTAAAAATTAATTAGAACAATTATCATTCTTTAAAAATCTACAATAGATAGAAGCAAAATTGAAATGTATTTAAAAAATTCTGTCAATCATCATAATTATTGAGTATTTTAAAGTACTTCAAAGTTTTTGATATTCTTAATGTACTCATGTTTTGATAATTGACAAATATTTAATTGATATTGTAAGAACATTAATATTTTGCATAGGCTGTTTTGCAAAGGCTTTTCAAAGAGTGCCAAAATCAATGGCATCCAGTTTTGCAAGCGCTAGCGATATGAATTCGTCTATGCTGAGCGCTTCCGGGAACGCTATGTTGGCCTCACAATCTGGTTTAGAGCCTCAGCCTGGAAGACAAGTTATGTTTGTTTTTGAAGTTAATATGGAAATCAGAGAACAAGATGCTAAGGTAAATTGTAATAATTATAGAGCAAATATTTCAATTGAATCTGAATTATATGATATGTGCTTTGCAGTGCTTCACTGCAAATTTAATAATTAAGCAGGATATAAATATATATATACAGTGGCGTCAGAACCAAATTTTTGATGGGTGGGCTCGTTTTTTTTTTTTTTTTTTAGATAGGCAGCCAGTGGTCTCGTTTTTTTTTAGAGATATTAGCCCATATAATTTTTTGAAATTGATGGGTGGGCTGAGCCCCACAGGTTCCGACGCCACTGTATATATATATATATATATATATATATATATATATTTGTGGAAAATGTTTAATCTAAAGTTTTATCAATTATTGAAATACAAAATTTTAAAAGAATAATATTTATAGGGTCAATATCATGCAGTGCCAAAAGATAGAAGTTATTTTAAGCTTCGATGCAATGTGGACAAAGAAATTTGTATATCAGTTCAACAAGTGCATTCAGCTCATGGTTTAAATGGAGAAGAAAACAAAAAAGATCGTTCAGGATTATTGGAAATTGATAGATGTTTTGGTGTTTTGTTGAGTCCAGGGAGACATGTACGCCACGGAGATATGCAACTGCTGGAAATGGTACTTAAATTTTTATTTTAAACCATATTATTGTAAATTTTAAACAGAAGTTTTATGGCCGTTTAATTGTTAATTTCTTAGTTGTTTATTTTTGTATGATTGTTTCATTTCAAAGATATCAATGGGCAGTGGACCACCTGAATCACCATCTTATAATATAAGAGCTCAATGGGATCCTTTGGAATCGGCATTTGAACCTCTAAATGTTGAAAGTGCTAAAGAATATATTACTGTCGCTGTAGATCTTGTGATTAAAGGAATTAGGGAACCATTAAGGTCAATATTTATCTTTATTTCATTTATTTTTGTGATATATTTTTAAATTTGTGTATATAACATTTTAGATTTCTAATAGAGACACCAGTGAAAATATTTGCACAAAATGAACGATTCTGGTATTTTTCTAAAAGACCACTTATACAGCAATTCTTTGTAAATCTGAAGGAGGTAACAATTAATTCCACTTTTGTTAATATATATTATTATTTGTATATTAATACATATTTTATATATTTCTAGGTGCCTGGTTCTGATCCTACAGAAATTTCATTTGAAGTATTGAATATTGAAACATCAGGAGAATTGGATCGGAACCGCTTGAATTTAACATTAAATCTTGCAAACCTTATAAAATCGCCTAGCTTTCCAAGTATTGACGTTGATACATTGAGCCCAAAAGATGATGACAGTTCTGGTAAGTTTTTTGGCATTTTCCTCATTGATTTTTTGTGAAAATTATAATTTTATTTTTAAT